GGCTGTAGGGCCTGCTGGCAAATCCCACCAATTCCAAGAGATCCACATACTCTACACTTCTGCACTGGTTTTGGGCTCTAGCTCTTTCCCAATACAGTTCCAACAGAGCCATGCCATTAGAGTCCGGTCACTACCGAATAGCAGAGCTCTGAGGAAGCGTAATATAGTCCTATATGGTTACATTTCTCTGAGAAGCTCCTTTGTGTAGGGCCTGCTGGCAAATCCCACCAATTCCAAGAGATCCACATACTCTACACTTCTGCACTGGTTTTGGGCTCTAGCTCTTTCCCAATACAGTTCCAACAGAGCCATGCCATTAGAGTCCGGTCACTACCGAATAGCAGAGCTCTGAGGAAGCGTAATATAGTCCTATATGGTTACATTTCTCTGAGAAGCTCCTTTGGGTACCAGAAAGAAGTTGCAACAATGTTGCTCCTTCACTCACTACATTGGGAGGTGTCTGGCATTAAGAGGGTGCAGGCAGAATGCCCCCCCACTCTCCAGCAGATATTTGTAGGAATGAGCAGACCTGCTAAAAATAGGAAGTGTATGTCTTAAAAACATACATGTAACTTCCAGCAGATATTTGTAGGAATGAGCAGGCCTGCTAAAAATAGGAAGTGTAGGTCTTAAAAACATACATTTAACGCAAGCTATTTGGGATAAAAAAAAGCACAGAAAACCTTTCAAATTTGCTGCATAAAGTCTGAGATACCAAAGCTACGGAGGGTACCTGAGACATAGTCGTGCTGGGGAAAGGCAGGCACAGCTGGGGAGCTCTGGCGTGACCCTACTCCAGGCCATTGTATCAGGCCTGCAGCCTGAAAGGCTGCTAGCGCTGCAGGGAGGCAGCCAGGGTAGGAACCGACAGCACGTTCACATCCTTTGCCAATGAGGAGTGGCCACGTCAGACTGCAGTTTGCCCCTGAGGCAGGGGCTAGATGACAACTGGCCATGGGTCACTGAGGCAAGGTGGTTATAGGGGATCGGGGTTTCCTGGAAGGGGAGGACCCCAGAGTGCAGGGGCACTGCTGTGGGGCAGTACAGTGAGGAAAAAGCACGGTGAGCCAGAAGGGACGGTGAGCCTGAAGTACCAGAAAAAGCACGGTGAGCCTGAAGTAGTGCCGGAGACAGGTAACTGAGGGCAAGACACCAGCCAGTTCCAGCTCCAGGGCTGGAAGAGCTAATTCCCAAGGAGACCAGCAGGAGGTGCTGCGCTTGTGAAGTAGGGGGGTCAATAGCCTTGTGTCCATGTAGTTAAAACTCACCCTATAAAACCTTCTATGTTTGACTCGGTGGAGTGGAAAAGGTTGCCCACCAATTGCTACAGCAAAATTCTTCAGCTGGCGGGCAGGTATGCAAAATGATTTAGCTGCAGTGATTCATCAATACAAAATCCTAAGGTTTGTTTAGTGCCTAAAACTACAGATATATTTCAAATGTACAAACGGAAATATACAAATACATGATCTCCATGACAAGCCACCTCTACCTTCGGATATATCCACAGTCATACCTCCTTTAACCCTCTTAATAAAACTAACATAATGAAAGACGTTAATTTCTCTTTCCAGTGACCATCTGCTGGTAGAAGGATGAACAGAAAACTGCCTTTCTACTTTAGTTTATTCCAAGTAAATTCTAGTAACTAGGGATGTAAAAATGGGTAACCAGTTAAACGGGAGGACTTAACCAGTTAACCATTTTGACTCATCTCCTCCTGCCTGGCCTGGCCCTCTGTGACAGGGGCTGCTCTGGTCTGGTGTGGCTGGCTGCCGGCAGAGTTCACTGCCGAGGATCAGTTAACCGTTGAACAGTCCTACTAGTAACACATCTTTTCCAATTTCACTTGATGATAACTTATTTAAATGACATCTTAAAACTCAACTTAAAGTATAACTTTGTCTTGTCAAATGTCTACCATTATGCAAAGCACATATACTTTAAAATGGAAAATATACAACCCTGTGCAAGTTCTCAGTATCAACTTACCAATCTGTAACTGGTTCTGGCTTGTTTGGCTCCTCTAGGATGCTCGACACCAACCCAAACATATCTGGGCCATTGCCAGAGTAAGACAGATTTATCTGTGCCCTGAAAAATAAAACCCAGACAGATGGGCTCCTATGTTTAAGAGAAAAAACAACTCCTAAAGAGAAAACACACAGAAGTTTACCTTCCGATTTCTTTAGCAATAAAGTAGAAATATAGGAAGGGGAGAAAAGGAGGCTTCCTCACTCTCCAAGAATAAATGCAATATTCCCTGCCGATGAAAAATGAAGTATTATCTTCTGTCATTAGCCTATCATAGCTTTGCAGGTAAGACACATATCGGAATAATCGGAATGTTTCAAAGCACCAGGGTCGTGATCCCCAAGTGTAGATTTCAGCCCTTCTGCGTAAAGCACTGGTTTGGGTTTCCAGAGTGTTTGCCAGACAGTGGGAAGGAAAGAACTGGATGGGTGTCACCTGCCTCTTTGTCACCTTTTCCTCCTTCTGCCCCACAACAACTTTCTGCGAAGATAAGGGTGGATGGAGACTGAGTGGACATGAAGGGGGTGGGGAATAACACCCAGTATTCTCCAACTAGCCCCTTAGAAATTACCACAAAAGGGTCCATAGGAATTATGAAACTGGATCAGAGACCTGAATAAATGAGACCTGCATGACACCTGAATAAATCTAGTCTCTGACAGTGGCAAGCCCCAAATGTAAAACCCTACAGTATTTTGCACCATCCCACTCCCAACTGTAGGTTTCAGCGTGATCTAGAACAGTCAGAGACTGGTTTAATGTCGGCTTCACAAATATCATAGGGGTAGCCATGTTAGTTTGAATCTGTATAAACAACAAGAAGTCCTGTGGCACCTTACAGATTAACAGATTTATTGGAGCATAAGCTTTCATGGGCAAAGACCCACTTCGTCAGATGCATGTAGTGGAAATTCCAGAGGCAGGTATAAATATACAGGCATATGAAAAAAAGGAGCACCAATCAAGAGGAAGGCCAGAGATAATGAGGTCAATTCAGTCAGGGAGGATGTGGCCCACTTCTAGCAGCTTCATAAATGTTGAACCTAATTTTAACTCTGGATATTCTTGGTATCAGACTATCCAGGCTTCTTCGAATCTTGTTAAACTCTTGCCTCAACAAATGTTTTTTAAAATAAATCAGTGTTGAATTTTCTATCTTTCGATTTAATTGAAGAGCACCTTGTTTTCCTGTTAGAAGCTAGGAAGAACCTCCATTCCCTATCTACCTTCGCTATTCAATGCGTTGCTTTATACGCTTTGATCATGTCCCCTTTTATTCATCCTTTTTCTAAGGGAAATAACCCCAGACTTGTCAAGCTCTTCCCAGGAGATTTTTCCATATCTTCCATCATTTCTGTCACCCTTCTCTGGCCCCCAGATCTGCAATGCCCTTTTGGAGAGGAGGTGACGGGAGCTGCACACAGTGAAACCAGACTGCTGATTTACATTAGGGACATGTCCGTGTACACGTGTAAATACAGGCAGTCCCCGACTTACGCGGATCCGACTTATGTCGGATCTGCACTTACGAACGGGGCTTTCTCGCCCCGGAGGTCGAGGTGGCGGATTGCTACCTGCGAGCTCCGGGGCGAGAAAGCCCCGTTCATAAGCTGCTCCGGTGCCCCTGGTCTGCTGGAGACCGTCCCCAGCAGACCACAGGCACCGGGACTGAAGCGGCAGCAGCGGTGGATTCCTGTGCTTGAGGCTTTGCCAGAGCAAAGCCTCAGAAGCGTGGCAACCTGCTGCAGCTCTGCTCCCCGTGTCCCTGGTCTGCTGGGGGGGGCGCAGCTAGTGCCCCCCCCAGCAGACCAGGCTTTTGTTTTGGAC